GTTTTTTTAGTAGATGGATATTTTAGATTATTTTCACTCTCTTCACAATGACAAGTAACACAGTTCTTTAATTTAGATTTGTCAAAGCAAAATTATAGGATCAAGAGAGAATTTTAATTCAAAATAAGAAAATACTCTTTAAAAAGGCCATACCAATTTATATTCCTGTGAAGGTTGTAGGAGTTGCTTTTTGAAAAACCACTACCAACTCTGTGTAACATGTTTTGTTTGGCCAATTTAATTGGCAAAAACTTTGCCTAATGGCCCTTTTTAATTTTGTTTCTTCCAGTTCTTGTTTGCAATCTTCAGAGTAAATCTTGGAGATTTGGGCAGGCTGGGAGGTACTGATTATACACAAGATATATGATCTGATATATCCTGCTAAACCTTAATTCCTAAAATACAAAAAAAAGTTGATTGGTTTAATTACTATCTATTCCAAATATATTTCATTCAGAGTTATGGATTAAGTTGTCTCCTTATAATAGTTATCTGTTGTAGTAAACTGGATACTGTTTAGCTGTCTTCTTGGTTTACATACCTAGGATCACATGGTATTTGCCTTAGTTGCCATCAGCCAATTATCACAGACGCTCTAGGTATGGCTCCATTCATTAAACCTGAAATATCATTTTGCTTTACATACTGATATTTTATGTTCAAGTAAGAACCATACACTGCCTGAAAATAATTTAAAATACTTATAAAATGACTATTTAGAGTTTATTTAGAAAGGCAGTAGGTGGGATGGCAGAGTTACAATGTTACGTTATTTCAGCAAAATGGAGGGATTAAGGTTGGATGATCTAGTTTTCGGTTTGGGGTAAAAATTCTGCCCTGGTAGTTGTGAGTTGCACTTTGTAGAATGAAGTTCCTACACTTTATGTGAATTAGTTTCTACACTGTCGATACGTGGTACAAATTATATATCAGAATATTGTGAATGTGATTTACAAAAAATAAAACACAACCAAACTTATTTTTTTCACTTTCAAGATCAATAAAATAAAGATGTGTTCTAGACATAAAACCCACAAAGAACAACATAGTTTCAATGTTATTATAGGATTGTGATATTTTTTCTTTCAATATAGGTAAACAAAAAGCTTACAAATTCTTACAAAAATTACAATGAGATGAACAATGAAAATAATCACATGAATATAAAAACTAGACTTTCCCACAAAGCCTGCACGATTTTCTCTGTACTTTGTGTGCTTCATTATATTGTTTAAAACAATTCCCCAAAGATGAAAACAATTCTTCCAGAAGAGATCAGTGACTTAAGAAAACAGATGAATCTAACCTCACAAAGCTTATCAGTAAGACTTCTGAGTGTTTATTAAGTTGCTGTTTTTTATGTTTTTTAGTTGTAGTTACTTTTTTCTGTCTTCACACGTATCTTTCTATTTGAACTCAGATAATCAAAAATTATGTGGAAAACCTAATAAACATGGCTCAGGTGAAAGAATACCTTAGTTCTTTTTTAGACTTTACAGTATAGCTAAGCATCCTATAAATGTGTAAAGAATTGAATGATATTAGGCACCATGAAAGTGTAAAAGGAATTGAATGACTTTTTTTTTTCATTTCCTTAAAGCTCATGCAATCTAAGAGCTAGAGTATCAACACAGGTAAAGTAAAAAAATAAATAAAACATTGGATAACAATTGTCAAAATCTGATATATTGGATAATGTTCAAATTTCAAACATCCTTTATATTATGGTAGAAATACTAATTTTTTCAACTTACTAGTTAACAAGTGTATAAAAGCAGATACATAAATTTTTGTGCCTCCCTTCTCTTGTCTGAAAAATAGTGCTACAAAAGTATCCACATGTGACGTGGACTACTAGTTTTTTCCAATATCCATTTCTTCAATTTTGTGTTGGTAGAACATCCTTGCCCTTATTCTCTTCCTCCTTGCCTCTAAACAAAGGAAGGAAGATGTCCATCGAGCATGAGACTAATTTCTATCCTAGCCTCCTACCTTAAGCCTTAAGCTAATTTCTCTTATCTCCCTTTTCCCCCATTTCCCACATTTCCCCCATTTCTTACTCTGGAATTCAGATACAGTGCTACTGAGCTAGTGGATGAAAAGTGGATGAAGGCTATACTTTTGGCCACTGGCCACATGCGGCTATTGAGCACATGAAATTGACTGGTGTGACTGAATACAAGAATTTTTAATTATACTTGGTTTTAATTAAATTTAAAAACAAATACTTAATTTAGTTATTGAAAAATTGTATGTTGAAACAATTTGTGTATATTAACATTTTCCAAACAAGATTTTTGTGAAACCTAAATATGACCAAGTATTTGAAATTTAGTATCCTAATTGAGAAGTAATACATATTTAAAATGATCACATTTTGGACCTATTAGGTTAAATTAAATACATCCCTAATGTTAATTTCATCTGTTCATTTTTACTTTTGAAAAATGTGATTAATAGAAAATTTAAAATTACACATGTGGTTTACTTAAATTTCTATCAGGCAGCATCGATCTAAGGAATGACAAGAAAGAAGGAACCCAGGGCTCTGCATGACCTCATGGAGCACAACAGTGTGACAGCCCTTAGCCACCTACCAGTCCAGACTTCTATACAGAAGAGAAATAAATCTTAACATTGACTTAAGTCCCTATTATTCTGGTTTCTATTAAAGCACTTGTAAACAATTTTAACTACTAAGCTACTTCATTACGTTGTTGAATATTAAATGAGTTATCACTTATCAAGAGTTTAAAATAGAGCCTGCTACATACTAAAGGCTCAATGCCCATAAACTATTTTCCTTCTTATTCTCTGAATTGAAATGCGGTTCTCTTCCCCCATAATTCCATATTATTTTATAAGTTTATATTGTATAGTGCCATCATCATTCAATTTTATGCACCTAAATTGGAATTCACTTGAAAGAATTTTGCCAGCTAGCATGTGTCCCTATCTCTAGTCTTTGTGAATCTCATAGGTGATACAGAATTCTTGCTCAAAGGTTTACTGAGCCACTTAGTTAATACTTTCAACTATCATCCCATCACCATTGTTTCCACAACCATAAGAAAACCACAATCATATCATTCCTCCATAGTTCAAACCTTTCTCTGGTTTTCTATTGCTTTAAGGATGAATGCCAAACATACTCACGAATCTTTTCCACCCTGTAGGATGATTTATTCCTTTTGGTTTTCTGGGCTGTAAAGGATGAATACAAAACACACTCACGCATCCTTCCCACCCTGTAGGATGATTTCTTTCTTTTGGTTTTTGGGACTGTACCATACACTGTAGCTTTCTCTTATTTGTTCAGTTGGTCTCTGAAGACCTTATGCATTTGTTTTATTTTTCCTTGAGTATGCTTCTCTTTCTGCATCCCCTAGGTAAATGCCAATTACCATGTTATATCACCCTCTTTAGAGAGCCTTAGATGGCCTTCTGGATTGCCTTAACTCTTCTGCTAAAAGCTTTTAGAACACCACGGCAACACTCTCCCTAACCATCCTGTCCCATGTCTCTACCCGAACCAATGGTTATAATCTTATAAATGTAGCACCTTTCACATTATTAAAATATTTTTTTTTCTGTTCACTACTCTCTTTTCTACCAAATTGTACTTCCTTGAGGACAATACTGAGTGAACATTTTGTACCTCCTTCAAACATCAATGTAGAATGTCTAATAAATTCTTTAGACTGCCAAGTAAGCTCTATAAAAATTGACAAATATTTGGTGTGATAATTCAGAGGAAAATAAATATCACTTCATCTTAGTGGAAGAGATAAAGAAGTATTTATGGAGTTACTAAGATATCACTTGAACCCTAGAAGACAGAAGTCAGATTGGTAGTTAAGAGAAGACTTAAGAACTAGACTATCTGGAATTGAATCATAGATATGCCACTTACTACCTGTGTGATCCATGACAAACTGTAAGATCTCCTCGTGCCTTAAGTTTGTCATTTGTAAAACGGACAGAGGAAATGGCAGTAAATCTTACAAGACTACAAGGAGAATTAAATGAGCAAATAAGAATCTAGCTTAGAAGAGTGCTTCATGTATAATAAGTTCTCAGTAAATATATGTTACTTATGGGCTTTGGATTAGAAGAAAGAGGGAAGCTATTTAAAGTAGAAGAAATTACACAAAATATCACACAGGGAAGTAAGAAAAAGTAAAGTGTGCAAGAGAGTGAGTGGTCCTACTTTCTAGACACAGACATTCGGTAGATGAGTGGTAGGAGGTAGGGCAAGGAAAGGGTCAACTTAAAGACTGTACTATAGTAGGTGGGCAATTATTAAAAGTTTTTGGTCAGAATGGTGGCATCATCCAAATTTTTTTTGTTTGTTTATTTTGCTTTTGTTTGGTTGTCTGTCAGTATTGCCAGAGAAAAAATGATAATATAAAGAATTAAAAGATTGTAAGAAATACTTTAGAGCTCTTATCTCCTTTGATAGCACATATCCACTAGTAGATAGTATTACCATGTCCGTTGTATTGATGGAGAAACTGAGGTAAAAGAAGACATGATACAGAACAAGACAATAGTAATACCTAATTCATACACCTTCTTTCAGATTTCAACATATGGAGAATTTTTAACACTGTATGAAACACAGAAGGGGGCCAATGAAAGAAATACAAAAGAAAAAGAAGAAACAACCACCAAAAAGACATCTATAGGTTTTATTATTATTAGCAATCCTAAGAGAAAAGTATTACTCCCTTTTAATTTTTTTTTTGTTCTATCTAATGTAGCATAATCTAAGAAAGCACTATGTGTTTTGCAGAGAAAATTTTTGAGTGGTCTCAATTTCGATTTACATATGTGCTAAAAATGTATAAAATTAGGCTAAAGTAAAAACTCAAAAAAATTACTTCCCTTTGAGCCTTGAGAGGGTTAGTTTCATGCTCAGCATGTCTGTAAACAAAGGTCTGATTGCCAAGCGCTAGGACATAAAGGGAAACAAGTGGAAAAATAGCTAAAGAGGCTTTATGGCTGAAAATCCATTTCCTTTGAAGTGGGATTATTGGAGTCATTTTGAAGCTAGGTTGCTGGTGGTTATAATGTTGAGGGGCGAGGAACAGGTAAGGATGAGAATAGAGAGGGGAAGGAGGAAACCTTGCAGGATAGAATCCTATCAGTGCCGAGGACAGTGGAGAGTTAACTCACAGATTGTACATACACTAGAATAACGTGGGTGGGTTTATTAACAGAGATGAGTAGATGTCCAGGAGTCATGAGGCTGAGCTCCTCTTTTCTGAATGAAGATAATGGGGTAATCTTTCAAAAAAGACATGGTGACACTATTAGAGCCAAGAAGCAGGTCACTGAAGAAAAGAGAACATATGTAGACATGGAGCTTTTATTCCCTATTTTCCTAGTTCTATGCCATTTCCACAATCATGGAACAACTCCACGGAAAGCAGGAAGAAAGCAAAGGAGGAAGGGGTTTTTGAAATCATCAAATACGGTGGGGTTTTTTGGCTTTGTTTTCTGTTAGAGGCGCTAGTGAACTCCTTCATTAAGAAGAAAACAAAAGTTGAAAAACTGGCCCAAATCATGTTTAAAAGTTGTCAACAGACTTTGACAGTTTCCAGTATTTTTCTATTATTATTAGAATGAATTAAGAGTTACTTAATCTGTTTGTAGGTTGCACCTAAATGCCTAGGGTGGAGAATAACATATTTCCAGATGCTTTTGTTATGTGAATTATCAATATTTTTATATTTAGGAACATGTGTAAAACTTATTTAATAAATACAAATAACGTTGACCTGCACATTACTCGGCAGAGGTAAGCTGATAATAGACACCTGGTAATGGGGTTCACAGTGATAATCATTATGGATTATTTTAAATTTTAGAGTTTTAATACAAAAGTAAAAAGTAATTCTTGCGTTACAAGGATGTGACTCATACTATTAATAGTCTCATGCATTTTTTTTTAAATGTCTACCCTAGAATGTTATGTAACTAACACAATCTTGCAGATAAAAGTTGTAATTGTCTAAGGGAAGTTGAAGCCCATTCCTTTTATGTTTTTAACATTAAATTATACTTTTAAAAAGCACTAAAGCAAGTGATGTTTAAACACAAATGCATTACAA